GAGCTACCATACGATCCAGCAATTGCACTACTGGGTATTTACCCCAAAGATACAAATGTAGGGATCCAAAAGGGTACGTGCACCCCAATGTTTATAGCAGCAATGTCCACAATAGCCAAACTGTGGAAAGAGCCAAGATGTCCATCGACAGATGAATGGATAAAGAAGAAGTGGTATATATACACAATGGGATATTATGCAGCTATCAAAAGGAATGAGATCTTGCCATTTGCAACGACATGGATGGGACTGGAGGGTGTTATGCTGAGTGAAATAAGTCAATCAGAGAAAGACATGTATCATATGAGGAACGATTCCTCACTGATATGAGGAATTCTTAATCTCAGGAAACAAACTGAGGGTTGCTGGAATCGGGGGTGGGTGGGAGGGTTGGGGTGGCTGGGTGATAGACATTGGGGAGGGTATGTGCTATGGTGAGCGCTGTGAATTGTGCAAGACTGTTGAATCACAGATCTGTACCTCTGAAACAAATAATGCAATATATGTTAAGAAAAAAAGAAGAAGAAGAAGAAGATAGCAGGAGGGGAAGAATGAAGGGGGGAAATCGGAGGGGGAGATGAACCATGAGAGATGATGGACTCTGAAAAACAAACTGAGAGTTCTAGAGGGAAGGGGGGTGGGGGAATGGGTTAGCCTGGTGATGAGTATTAAAAAGGGCACGTTCTGCATGGAGCACTGGATGTTATGCACAAACAATGAATCATGGATCACTACATCCAAAACTAATGATGTATGGTGATTAACATAACAATTAAAAAAATTTAAAAAAAATAAGCTGTTCTAACTTCCCCCAACCAACTAGGGGCAATCACAGGAGGGAGAAAAGAAGGCAGCTATTGCTCAAGGTAGATTTGTATAAAGCCAGGAAATTGCATCTTTTAAAATGGATAAGATTTCCCATCACATAAACATATAATAATAGTCTTCCATCATTTGGGCTAACATTTATATTACCTAAGTTAAACCATCATCGTGATGTTGTTCTATTATTGGCATGTGACAGAGTGCATGTTGGAGCAAATATAAGTTCAGAAAGCATCCTCTATCTTCACATGATAAGAAGTCTTCAGACTTTCCTAAACAGACAAACTTTGTTTTGTTGCTATGCAACCTACATGCAATACAGTCCCTCAGACAGTAAATAGATTATGAATTTTACAATGAAAAGTCTTTTCTCCCTATTTGAGAACAAGCCACGACTTCCTTTCATGCTGTCCTAATCCACCACAACCCTCTAAAGCTGTTTCACAAATGCAAATGTTTTGGCAAGATAAATAAATGAATGAATAACACAGCAATGACACAGATGAGGTTTGCAAACTGCACGCTAAGAAGCATCAATGCCATTTGATTCATTCTTGTAAGACTGTGAACCTGGGCTCCCCGAGCCTGGCAGAGAGAAGGAAGTTTACTTCACATCCACAGTTTTCCAGACAGCAGAATGTACACAAGCTTAAACAACAGAGGTTCTGAGGAATTCTGCTGGCAGGCCCCCATCGGTGCTACATGTCTCAGACATGACTCTGTTCAGGAGCATTAGAAGGATTTTAGCCATGAGGGAAACATCTGTGGGGACAAGACGTGACAGTCGTTGAGAACCAGTGACTCACGGGCCAAACATGGGCCACAACTGTGTTTAACGTGACCTGCACAGTGCTCGAGATGTCAAATATTCACCAACATTTAATTTCTCTCTGTAAAAATGTAGATGTCTCCATCTTTTCTTGAAAAATCGGAAAATAAGACTGAGCTTATATTTTCACAAAAATCAGTGGGGATTGGCTTTCAGTGGAAACACTGCAAACAACCCAAACATAGAACAACAGGAGAATGGATTGATAAATTGTGGTATTTTTGACACTGGATTTACTACAGAGCAAAAGATGGAACTAACTGCAGATATACTCAACAACACAAATGGATTTCACATACACTGTACAAAAGAAACCAAAAACAAAAAGCACATATTGTATGGTTTCATGTATACAAACATGAAACACTTAGTCTGATAAAAAGGAATAGTTATCGGCCAAAACTAATCAGTGGTGATGGAAGTTAGCGTGAGGTCACTTCTGGTAGAGCGGGTACTTTTGGAGATGATGGAAATGTTCTGTATCTTGATCTGGGAGATGGTGGTGGAGCAGTGATGTGGGTGTCTATGTAAAATGCATTCACCTATCCACCTAGGTTTCAACACTTGCTATATCTCACTGTAAGTACTTTATACCTCAAGAAGAAAGAAAATTCAACAAAGAGAATCAATTGGCTAAGGAGAAGTTGCCCTTTGTAGGTGGGGCATGGTTCATACACAACAGCTGGCTCATTACATGATTGGCCAGGCAAATCTGATTCGATGCTTCTTCCTTTAGACTAGATGGGTGGTTCTCAAAGTATGATGCCCAGATAAGCAGTATCAGCCTCACCTGGAAGCAGGTTAGAAATGCAGATTGCCAGCTCCCTCCCCAGACCTGCTGCATCAGAATCTGTGGGCATGAGGCTTAGCACTCTGTTTTAACCGGTCCTCTGGGTGATAGTTTGAGAAGCACCACTCTAGAGCAATATATACATTCAATAACATCCCAGAAAAGCAGAGTTGGCCTATATTAAACTATCCATTCCCTTTTACCCCTTCCTCAACATATTGCAGAAAACTCAGCAACAGAAAAGTCAATTGGCTCCCTCAGAAAACTTCTATCAAGTTCAAGTAACAAATCTTCAGAAAGAGATGTGCAACCAATGTGCCCCATTTCTGTCTTAGCCATCAGATAGCTTTAGTTTTAGGATTATTACAACTGGACTGGAGACACACTCAAAGAAAAATGAAAACAACTTTATATCTTTCTGATGATGGAAATAATGTATATCACAGAAGCTTCAGTGATATTACAATTCTGAAGAAAAACTGAAAAGCTACATTCAAGTAGGTAGCATGGCTCTAGGGGTCATAAAAGTGTTCAGAAACTCACAAATTAAGAGCACTAATCCCATCTCACATAACTTGCATAAAACTTAAAACACGTGGATGTCCACTTGCTGGGAAAGTTATCAACTTTTCTTTTTCACCACCCAACCACATACTATGATGTAGTCAAAGTAGACATTTTTGCCAACAGAAAAGACATTTCTGAATCAGTTGGGGGAATCAAAGAGGTGTTTATTACATACTTATTAATTGATTAACATTAATTGCAAGTACATTACACAGTTACATGATATGATATGCCCCACCTTCTTCACATTTGGAGAAATTTTGAAGGATAATTATTCCTTTTTATCAGATTAAGTGTTTCTTTGTTATCAGGCTAAATTAATAATTTTAGAAAGAAAGCACTATGTTTGTGTACATCATAGCATTTAGGAAAGGCCTAGCATTTAAGGAAAAGGAAAGAGGGAGGGAGGGAGAGAGAGATCTGAGAATAATAAAACATTGTAAAAAAACAATAAAACATAACCTAACAATCATATTTTTAGGTAGTGATTCTCTCAATTGTTTCATTTAATATTTCACAGTGGTTGAACAACCAGGGAGATGGTAATACATAAATTTGAAAATTATGTTGGCTACCAAGTTCACCTCCAATCTGCCAAATGCCCAGTTTGGGGAATAAATTTAAGTCACATGACCGGGGCTTCACATGCACACTACCAATATGGTTGCATAGGATTCTACACTCAGAAGGGGGCCTCACACTTGCGTTTCATGCTCTGTGGTTGTTGGATTGAAATTCTCAATAATTTTATCTTTGAGTTTGCATTTTATGAGTCAAAGGCAAGGGACAATGAAACATGTGCTAGGGGCGTGGAGCCTAGAATCATACAATGTCTCGTCTCCTGCCATCTGCCCACCTCCCCTGAATGAGTCCTTGGCTTGTCTCACCCATCAGCCAGTGATGGGCACCGCTGTCCACTCCTGACGGGGACCTGGGCGCAGGCGCAGAAGAAGCAGGGCATATCACAGGATGGTGGTCAAGCACCCGTCCTGCTCTGTGAGTATCCTCATGCCCAAGGAAACATGACATTAAATAGCAAATAAAAGATACCATGACAAGTTAAGAGAAAAACCGTGGAAGGAAGGAAAGGACTTTTTCCTGCTTTTTGAACAAGTGGCCCACATTTTCATTTGGCACGATCCTCACAAATCATGTAGCTGGCTCTGCATATGACCATGAGTGGAAAGAAAGCAACAGAATAAAGAAGAGCTAGAAGGTATAAGAGAATTAATGAGCAACAGGGCAGTGACTAGGGTTCAGAGATTAAAATGGTTGAATTTCATATTGTTACAAATGGACCAGATATATTCTTTTCAAAAATGCTTTATTTGTTTCTGATTAAGAAGTAATATGTGTATCATAAAATATGCAGATAGATGCAGACACTAAAGATGGGAACAGAAACCTACATTCAAAGAAGTAGCCTAAGTCAGGGTGTTAAAAAGTATCTAGAAAGTCACTAGTTACCACCAACTCGTCCCAATTCTATCAAGAGCTGACTCCTCAGCATTGGGAATCTAAATCTCCTGTTTCTCTAGGCATGTCCAACCTTTTGAACCCTAGCTTACAATTTAGGAACACTGCTTTAAGGATATCTAAACACAATGCAGATTAATAAACAGTGAGATCATTATCTTTTTACCTCAGGGATAGCTACCTCCCATTTTACCAAAGGCTATCTTTTGTTTTTCAGCACTTTAGCCTGCCAGGGGATGACGTTGTCTAAACACATTTTCAATGTTTTCTTTTTAACAGTTAATATATTTCCAGGATGCAAGTCCATTTCTTTCTAAAAGGTTCCTAGGACACCCATTGAAAAGTCAAAAGCAATGAGCTCAAAGGGATTGCTATTTTGTTGGAGAAGAACGACACCCTTTGTGTTGAAGTGGGGTATTGCAGACTGTGGTCACTCTCTGCACAGTGTCTCTTTGTCAAGTAATACATGCCGAGAAAAAAAAAATAATACAGATGGGAAAATATTGTGCACTGTCAGATCTTGGAAACGGCCGAAGGGTTTTTCCTCACCAATGTCTTGTCGATGACTTTCACATTCTGGCACCCTGAAAAAATAATGCATACATTTAATATGAAATGAATGCAATAATAATCAGGCAGGTAATCGTTTTCCCAAGGAATGTAAAACTTGACAAATGCAAGGTTTATGATTCAAGGTAAGCTTGCCAAATCTTATGTGGCATGAGACCACTTTTATTACCTAAACAGTCCTTAACACAAAATGACTGGCACATATTTTTATTAACACAAAGAGTATATTCTTTCTGCCACATTTAATAGAGAGTCAGCGGCTGAAAGCTCTCTTTTAGGATATGTCTGTAGCAAATTAAAATGCATAGTGAGGATTCACAGAATGGCATTCTTCTCTCCCTGAGGCTGTGTCCACACAGGCTCAGCGCGGTAGCAGTAGACAATTGATCTTGGGAATTCTATCTACAAGGACCGTCTGGGTGATATGGATTACAGAAAAGGAAACCCTCATTACCTTCAGAAGTGGATAATTGACTCAAAGGCATTCTTTGCATCCAGAGGTCCATTCTGAGTCAAATTCAAAACAGTAACTAGTAATAATGGCGCTTATATTTTACTCATTTCTCCGACAAATACTATTTGTGTGCTGGACGCTGCTCTAAACACTGGAAATACTGCATTGAAGACAGCAAAGATCCCTGCCTCATGCTTCTTATATCTCCAGAGGAAAAGAGAATATGTAATGCAAGTAATTTAAGAAGTAAATCATATGATGGATGATGTATAGGTAATGGGTGCCATGGGAGAAGAATGAGGTAGTCACAGGGAGAGAAAACTGGCAGCTGAGGGGCACCTGGGTGGCTCAGTTGGTTAAGCATCTGCCTTCAGCTCGGGTCATGATCTCAGGGTCCTGGGATCGAGCCCTGCGTCGGCTCCCTGCTCAGCGGGGAGTCTGCTTCTGCCTCTCCTCCCTGCTTGTGTTCTCTCTCACTCGCTCTCTCTCAAATAAATAAATAAAATCTTTAAAAAAAAAAAAAAGGAAGAAAAGAAAACTGGCAGCTCAGTGGATGCATGGAGGATGGATTGCCATTTTTTAAATAAGGTGGTCAGGATGGCACCCTTTGAGAAAATATGATTTCAGTGAAAACTTGGAGAATGTTGGCCGTGTAGAACAGGCTGGGAGGGAGAAGGGGGCAAGGTGGACAGACAGACCAGCAATGCCCAAGGGGAGAGAGGCTCTGATTAGGAAAAAACACAGAGAACCTATTGGAGTAGCGAGTGAGCTCAGGTTCTGATCACATTTTGCAGATAGAGCTCCTGAAAATGTGAATAGAGCTCCTGTCAATGTGTGAGGGAAATGAGGAGTCAAAAGTGACTCAAGATTTTTGAAACAACGGTACTATCAAGAACTGAGACTGGAGAGTCTGCAGATGGAGCAGGTTCAATAGGGAAAGTTAGCAGTTTCATTTGGACACGCCAGTGGAGGTGTTGACTAGCCAGCTAGAATTTTTGCTCATGTGTTATGAGACGAGGAGGAGTAGAGGAGAGCGTTCGCCCTTCAAGTACTCACACTCGCCCAAACAGCCCTGATGAGACTGTCAAAGACAGAGGCAAAGCGACTGTTCCAGGCTGTGGACTCCCTTTGTCCAGAGAGTGCTCTGTCCTAGAGGTGTAAACACGGAGCCAACTTCAAATTTCATTACAGCCCAAATGACTCCATCTTCTTCCCCCTCGAGTTTACTGCTCTCCACCAAGGAGTGCACAAGAAGAAAAGTTGGGAAGGAGAATGGCAAGTCTTACCACTCAGAGCCAAGGCCAATCGGAATTCTTCCTTTAGTATCTCAAGGACATCTTGAACACCTTTCTCTCCCTAAGCAAGTAAAAGATACAGATCTTTGGAGTAAGTCGGTCTGACTTGATTCATGCGTTTATCTCACTGTTGTTCTGGTTTATTTATTTCGTTGTCCTCCAATTACCTGGGAAGCCAAGCCCCAGATGATCGGTCTCCCCACAAACACAGCTTTGGCTCCCAAGGCTAGAGCTTTCAGAACATCAGTGCCTTTCCGAACACCCCCATCCAGGAAGACTTCTACCTTCCCTTCCACAGCTTCCACAATTTCCGGCAGAGCATCAATCTGCAGGGAGGAGAGGTCAATCATGTGAGGCTATGCATGTTGAAGTGTTACCCAGCTCAGCCCCCATGGCCATTGACCATCTGACGAGGGTTTAGCGTGAAAGAAGCTAAGCAGGTTTGGAATCAACAGTACAATTATTCCCTCCTGGAAGAAAAAGGGTGCAAATGTCAGTACCCAAAACACCTACTAAATTTGGAGTTGAGTGGCTTATTTTTATTTCGAAGTTCAAGACTTTTTTTTTCCATTCCTGATTTCAAATTCAAAGATCATGATTTAAAAAAATATATAAACAAAATTTTAATACACATAATGACCTTTTATAGCTATGCTTTATAAAATGCATAGAAGTATCTTGCTCATATAAATTATTCTGTACGTTATTTACCCATTGAAAATCATTTGTTAAAATTAATACTTAATTGATGGTGGAAGCAGTGGTGTATAAAAATGCAAGCAGGGCTAGCAATGAAAATCCTACTCTCTGATTTCCCCCACCAACATCTTTTGCATCCAACCATATATTAGAGAACTCTCAATGCAAATATCTTTCTTGCTTTCAAAGGACTATGACCACAGGCACCTTGAAGGTCCTTGTCTTGATTGACAATTGATGATGGGCTTGTATCAGCACCAGAGAATACAAGAGACTCATGCAGGTTGAACTGGTGGACCGCAATACGGTTCCTGATCCTTCACACCACTCTGAAACCACTCTTTTTTCCAAGGCACCTTTGCAGTGTTTCCTGATAAAGGAAACAGAGTGCACTGGCCTGCTCCTTGACATTGGCCTTGGCCTTGCAACTTACTTGGGCCAATAACATGTGAGCAGAGGTGGCAGAGTGCCATTTCGGGGCACAGACCTTAAATGACCTCATGCATGTCAACTTTCTCTGGCACCTGTGCCACTTGCCATGAGAGAAGTACCCTCTGGGCACTGCTTTCCATATAGCTGGGGCCCCAGGATAAACACTCAGGAATTCAGGAAGCAGCGTTAGCTCAGCTAAGCCCAGCTGGACTCGAAACTCGGAGCACAGCCACCTAACCAGTACCAAGTCCAGATCAGCAGAGTGCCCCCCCATTCCACCCCCCACCAATTGACACAAAGTTTCATGGGAATAAATGACTTGATTTAAATCACTGAGTTTGGAATCTGCTATTTCATAGCATCATGTGGCAATAGCTAATAGAGTTGGCAAATAACCAATACAGTTAACAGCTAATAACTGATAGAGTTGTATATTTTGTGTAAATCTTTGCACTCGAGAATGGAAATAATTCACAACATGACCTGAAGGTCAAAAGCTGTAGAAATTACCCACGTTCATTCCCAAATATTTGAGCATAAAATGAAGTCCAATCCCCATTTAAAATGCATGCTGAAGAAGCGACCACGCATTTGAGTGCAGTTTTTCTAGACATAATTAGTGCTGAAACCACTCAAAGGCTTTCCAACTTCTCCCCCAAAATTGTAGAGGCTCAACTTAAAAAGAGTTTTATGTAAAAGGCTGAAGACCAAACCCAGCTACAGATTTGGAGGAAGTGAAGGCAACTTTTGGCGCACAGCCCCTAAGTGTTTGGCAGGTAATGTGATTTTCCCCTTTTCCTTTTGGCTTCTCTGCCTTGCCAAACATGCTTTGGATCCATTTACATATGTCCCTTTACCTATACATAGTCCTCCTTTTACATTCAGGCAAGTTACATCAACATATAAATGCTATAATTTCCAAGAGATGATGCAAGCCATAATTAAGCATATTTCCCCATTTGAAACCAAAACCAAAGAAAAATATTAGCTAGCTTGGGTTCAATACACATTTTCAAAGTCAGGCAAATCAAGTCTGTTTACGATATTTCCAATGCCCAACCTGGCCTAAGAGGAAGCTAATAAGGATACTTAAAATGTGAATTCCGGGCTATAAAATGGAACCCCGATTGGTGCTTTTGGTGTCTGTGGACAAGGATGTTCTATCCATTGCTGAGCATTTCTATCCTCCCCCTCTTTCTTTCCATAACTGCAGTTTCACTGGGTGTATATTTCAGAGAATAATTCTGATCAGAGGAGATTAAATAAATAAATACAGTAGACAAATCCACTATTTTACAACTGTTACATTTCCTCTTTCCAGCTTGCTACACATCTGAAAGACCATTCATTTTGGTTTTTCTTTCCTTCGTGATTCTTTAGACAACTAATTGTGGGCTCACCTCCCGTGGGGTTAATCTACAGGAAAATACACTACGATCCCGATAAACTGGCTAACTCATCCATCCATTCACTGACTTAGCAGCCTGTATATTCAAGCCACCGTGCAAGAAGGTCTAAGGGAGCCAACAAGAATCCCACAAGGTTGTGACTCACAAGGAGACTTTTCCCATTCCTGCTCAAGTCACACTCTTCCAGGATGTTCCCTGTCCCACAAAACTACTCACAGGGAGCGTCCACCTTTCTATCTTCCCATAACATCCATCGGTATACTCCCGATTGCTCATGTTTTGGGCATGGAACCCTTTAAAGGTCTCAAACCAAAGCAGGGCACCTGGGTGGCTCAGTTGGTTAAGTGTCTGACTTTTTGATTTCAACTCAGGCCCTGATCTCAGGGTCGTGAGATTGTGCCCTGTGTCTGCTTACTGCTTAACATTCTCTCTCTCCCTCTTCCTCTGCCCCCTCCCGACCAGCTCTCTCTCTCTCTCAAAAAAAAAAAAAAAGTTTTCAAATCAAAGCAATTGAACATAGACAAAGAAGATAAAGCCAGAGACGCTTTAGTTAAAAGCATCTCAAAACCTACATACTGAGGGAAAAATATCTTCACTGTAAGTCGAATCTAATCTCACATTTCTCTCACCATCGTGGGCCTCAAATATGCTCTAAAGCTTGAGGCAAAACCCAAGCAAGCATCTCCTCTCTTCACAAAGCATGCAAAGGGGAGTGTCATTGTTTTTTTTAAAACAGTCTCTGAGACCACAGCTCAAAAAGCCCTTTTAGATAAGTTTCCATATCCCCTTGGCCAGAGGGAAATAAACCACACCATTTAGATATTTTCCCCTTAAAATCTAGTTAGATTTGATTTCAGTAGATTTAGATTTTATTTTTTGAAAACAAACTTAATTTGGCTGGCACATTAAGTCTATGTCTTCATGCACGAGAGGCGTAAATCTGCAAAAGAGCCTCAAGCTGTGACAAACTTCTCCTCTCTGCCCAGAGGAGGTCTTCATTCTCCACCTCTCTTTACCTGCAGGCAGCACTTAGTATCACCGAAGAAGACGGGTCTCTGTAAGTAAAGCTGAATTGGGAAGGACTGAAAACTCCCAGTTTTGTGATTTGATTCTTGACTCTGTGATCCTACAGTGTGCAAAGGTGAGGTTCATTCCTACCATTAGCGCTTTAGGAAAAACTGTGAGTACAAATATGGATGGCATCCCAGTATTCCCCTGTAGTCGTTTAGTCTGTCCTAAGACCCACATGACTGGTCTATGGATTTATCGAAATCAACCTGCTGGTTCAATGAAAGAGTAATCCACTACTACTTGACAAAACTATTTGTCCTACTGTACTTCCGGTCGTTTGAATAAATTCATTGGTCATCCCAGTTAAAGCCATCCATATAATAACTATGACTGAACGACTCTGATAACATCTGATAACCCTCTTGGAGCTAATTGCTCTCCTCCACAGTTTTAACTCAGTCCCACAGCTCTTCAAGCCAGTTTGGTTTACTTTTATATCTAGACTCTGGATTCAGATTTGTCTGGTACAGTGTGTACAGTGTCTAAAAAACCACAAATGCACATTGGAATCTCATGGGTAGCTTTAAAAAAAAAAAATGGTGCCTCTGCCCCCTGCCCCCAGATACTCTGATGAGTTGATCTATTGTGCAGCCTGTGCATCAGGATTCGTTAAAGTTCCCCAGATGATACTCTTCCTTTCCCCCACCCACCAACCCTCTCTCTGCAGCTTCTCAACTCCCACATCCACAAGAAATTTCAGTCTTCCTCTCCGCCCGACTTCTTGTACCAATGATCTCAAACTCCACCCAAGCCTTTTATAATTACAATTGTCTGTTAGCTCCTCTTCTTTGGACTCCCATGATGTAATCATTTCTTTCATACTCTAATTTACATTATAACTTTCAGAGTACCTATGAATACAAGAATAATCCCTGCCCACAAAGGACTTATTATTTAATAGTGACTTTTATAAGCTTACAAATAAATGTATTAGATGAATTAATGATCTAATCTAGGTAGATATATGCCACTAAATTTAAAATCCAAGATCTCATCTGTTCGCACACATTTTGCCTTGAATGGTCTCACACACAAAATACACAGAAAAGAGCCAGACACAGAGATAGTCCAAACTGTGTTGGAAATGAGAACTCCAAAGGGAAATCTCAGCATTTGCTGAAACTCACAGTGGCTGGCACCCCATCAAGTTGTCGAGCCCCGTGATTCGACACCAAGATTCCATTCAAGCCATGTTTAACTGCCTGCCGGGCGTCATCACCTGAAAAGAGCAAGACCGCCATTGTATGAAAAAAGACAACTTAACAGAAGGCTTGGGTTTAGAAGGTGAAAGGTCCCAGTCAAAAGGAGCCTGACCTCACACATCTATATCTTGCTCAGAACCTTTAGCATAGAAATACACCAACAGTTAGATCTAGAATAGTAGTGACAGTTTCCTTGGCCAAAATGTTAGCACCTCTAACAATTGCATCATGACATAAAATTTTCAATAGACAGCGAATTGACATGCAGTTAAAATTTATTTATTCTCATGTGGAAGTACTCCTGCTAAGTATTTTTATTGTTATTAATAAGGTCATACCATTTAACATTTAGCAGAATTATTCCTCTGCAATTTGGAGAGCATAAAAGAATACATAAGTGGCAAGCACATGAAGTATAACATGGAGGGAACAAGACTATTCCAAAAACATTCTTTAATACAAAGTTATATCTTCAATTATTAAGTTATATTGTTCTATAATTAAATGTATTTTGCCCATTGAAGTATATAAAAATAAACAAAAATTAAAATTATATGCTATGTCTTAATCATGCTTCAAAATATATCAAACTTCTGAAAATATAGTTTTAAAATAGATTAGGGGTGCCTGGGTGGCTCAGTTGGTTAAGTGTCACCTTCAGCTTGGGTCAGGATCTCAGGGTCCTGGGATTGAACCCTGCATCCGGCTCCCTGCTCATCGAGAGTCTGCTTCTCTCTCTCATTCTCTCAAATAAATAAAATCTTAAAATAAATAAATAAATAAATAAATAAATAAATAAATAAATAAATAAGATTAACATTCTCTCAAATCAATTTCTCCCTCATTTTTTATATTTTATATTTTAAACTCTTATTTTCAGCATGCTTCCAATAATAAACCATTCGCTAACAGAATCAGGAAAGTAACACTGGTTCTCTAATTTAACACTCAAAAATACTTGGTCTAATGTGGTGAAAATCAGATTTAGGTGATGTAATCAGACGGATATAGGACATTGTATATATTCATAAATTCAGCAGTGGAAATCAAGGGCATATCTAAGAATAATAAAAAAGACTCATAAAAGAATCTGTAATTCTGAGTATTTTAAAATTTTATTCTAAAACTCCATTTTTCCAAGCTGTGTTTTATTGAATGTTAGTTTTTTAAATATCCCCATTAAAAAAAATGATGCTAGTATTATTTTTCTTCGAAAATTATAGGTAGATGGGGTGCCTGAGTGGCTCAGTCAGTTAAGCGTCTGCCTTCGGCTCAGGTCATGATCCCAGGGTCCTGGGATCGAGCCCCGCATCAGGCTCCCTGCTCAGTGGGGAGTCTGCTTCTCCCTCTGCCCCTCCCCTCCACTTGTGCTCTCTCTCTGGCTCACTCTTTCTCTCTCTCTCAAATAAATAAAATCTTTAAAAAAAATAAAAAATAAAAAACAAAATTATAGGTAGATGAAAATGTTAAACTCATGTTTTATGGACTGAATGTCTGTGATCCCCTGCAAAGTTCATATGTTGAACCCCTAACCTCCAATGTGATAATATATGGAGATGGTGCCTTTGGAAAATCAGTAGGGTTTGATGAGGTCCTGAGAGTGGGGCTTTCATGAGGGTATTGGTGCCCTTATAAGAAAATATCGGGGAGCTTGCTGGCCCCCTCCCCCAAGCCCCACTCACACAAAGAACAGGTCATGTAAGTGCACAGGGAAAAGGCAGCCTCCAGAACCAAAGGGAAGAGCTCACACCAGAAACTGACCAGGCTGGAACCCTAATCTCAGACTTCCAGTCTCCAGAACTATGAGAAAAGAAATGTCTGCTGTGTAAGCCACATAGTCTATGGCATTTTGTAACGGCGGCTAGTGCTGACCTAGACATCATGTAATTGTGTTGTTGTTCTTGTTAGGGTTCACCTTTAAGGAATGCTCTGATGAGCCACAAGATACAATGAAGTAGTATGAAAGGTGTTCTGCTACACGAATTGCCAGTGTTTCCCAACTAATTAATTTGTATGTTATCTGTTCACCTCTAAGCCTGTGCTGTGTTATGCATTTTGTTATATACTCAATATGTGATTGATAATCTATATTTATTTCATATTAAATATACAATCTAATGTTTCTATGACACTGTTTTGGCTATCTGTTTTAATTCAAGCATGAATTGCAGATTGTGAGGTGCCATTGGAAACTTCTGAGTCACCCAAAGGGAAAAGGCCCTAGTACCAAGGTTGATAGATTTTTTTTTCTGATCCTATTGATTCATTCATATTTTAAATTTTAATATTGCTTCATATTTGGACCATACATGTTTTATTTCACAGCTTTATTTTCCTGGATTTCTAATTACATTTTTTCCCCTTTTTTCTCCAATTATCATGAGCCTTAAGACAATCCTCAAATTCTAGAGGGCCTGGGTGGTGCAGTTGTTTGAGCGACTGACTCTTGGTTTCAGCATGGGTTGTGATCTCGAGGTGTGAGACTGAGCCCCAAGTCAGGCTCCACACTCAGTGAGGAGTTTACTTGAGACTTTTTCTCCCTCACTCTGCCCCTCCCCTCTGCACTCAAGAGCACACACTATCTCTCAAATAAATCATTTTTTTAAAAAAGAGTATCCTCAAGTTCTTCAAACTTTCTAATTATCCTATCCAACCTATGTAAATCATCTTATTTTCCCTCTGAGACATCCCCCCTGAGCCTTTTATTTTCTCTATCCTGCTCTGATTACTCTCAAGTTTGACTGCTGACCTTCATCCTAAGGATTGCTACTACTCTCTGAGGGTTGAATCTCTTGAAGTCTAATTTATGACTTCATTTGGTTTAGGTTTTCATTTGTGTGTAGTACATCCATTCCTTTGTAAGCTCCTAAAAAGGGATCCATGCGAGGTAAACTTACAGAGCACCTAAATAACTTCTTTTGTCTTTGGTGATTGGATTAGGTATAATATTCTAGGTTGAAAATCCTTTTCCTTAAAACCTCAAAGACATTGTTCCACTATCTTCTAGTGCCCCTTGTTGCTGACAAGAAGACTGATGCCAGTTTGATTCCCATTCTTTGTAAGTAACCTGTTTTATGTTTGTTTCCCTCTTAATACCCATTCCCCCCCGAAATTTCATAAAGGATGTAATAAATTACAATTTGTTTCCTCCATCTAATGACTTAGGTCTCCAGCATTCAAACACTGTCTAACAATTTCTTCCCTGCCTCTTTCCTTTTTTTTTTTTTTTGAGGGATCTACATTTTATTGGAAACCTTAAATACTCTTCAGACAGACAATATCTTCAAACAAGGCTCTCATATGGCCTACAGAGCAAACCGAGATTTTTGGATTAGGGGCAAGGAGAAGCACAGCACAGAAGAGGACCAGTGCTTAGTTTGCCAAAAGGACCTCCTCATGAATGCTCTTCAGCCAGTTTATCAGCTTTTGCCACAGCTTCTTCAATGGGTCCCACCATATAGAAGGCCTGTTCTGGGAGATGGTCACCTTCACCTGCCCAAATCTGCTGGAATCCTTTGATGGTCCCCTTCAGAGGTACCAGCTTCCCCATATGACCTGTGAAAACCTGAGCTACCTGGAATGGCTGAGACAAGAAACGCTGTATTTTCCATGCACGGGACACAGTCAACTTGTCTTCCTCAGAAAGTTCATCGATACCCAGGATGGCAATGATGTCCTGGAGAGATTTGTAGTCCTGTTAGGATCTTTTGCACCCCATGAGCAACATCATAATGCCCATTTCCAACAATGTTGGAATCCATGATTCAAGAGGTGGAATCCAGAAGATCCACATCTGGATAGATGACCAACTCAGCAATGGCATGGGACAGCACAGTGGTAGCATCCAAATGGTCAAAGGTAGTGGCAGGGGCAGGGGCAGTCAAGTCATCAGCAGGCACATAGATAGCCTGTACAGAAGTAATAGATCCCTTCTTGGTGGTGGTAATTCTTTCCTGCATGGTACCCATATCAGTGGCCAGGGTAAGCTGCTAGCCCACAGCAGAAGGGATTCTGCCCAATAAAGCAGACAGCTCAGAGCCAGCCTGGGTGAAGCAGAAGATGTTATCAATAAAGAGCAATACATCTTGACCCTCTTGGTCTCTGAAGTATTGGGCAACAGTCAGTCCAGTCAGAGCCACCCGGGCGTGAGCACCAGGTGGTTCATTCATTTGACCGTACACTAGTGCTACCTTGGAGGTAGCATCCTTTAAGTTGATAACACCAGACTCAATCATTTCATGGTATAAGTCATTGCCTTCATGAGTCCTCTCAACAACACCAGCAAACACAGAGTAACCACCATGGGCTTTGGGGACACTGTTGATCAACTCCATGATCAGTACCGTCTTGCCAACTCCAGCATCACCAAAGAGCCCAATTTTGCCACCCTTGGCATAGGGAGCCAGCAGATCCATGACTTTGATACCAGTAACCAGAATTTCCTGCTCAACACTCATCTCCATGAACTCAGGGGCCTCAGCATGAATAGGTGCAAATTGTTTGGTTTTGATGGGACCTCTCTCATTAATAGGTTCTCTGATGATGTTCATGATTCTGCCCAAGGTCTCAGGACCAACAGGAATTTTGATTGGTGCACCAGAATCCAGGACTTTCTGGCCTCTAACCAAGGCTTCTGTACCATCCATGGCAATAGTCCTTACTGTGCTCTCACCCAAATGCTGGGCCACCTCCAAAACCAGCCTGGTCTCTCTGCCTTGCACTTCCAGGGCATTTAGGATGGGTGGTAGTCCCTCATCAAACTGGACATCCACCACTGCACCAATGACCGCCACGATGCACCCGGTGGCAGCGCCTGCTTTTGACAAAGGAGATGTTTAAGCAGCATAGTCTCTGGCAAGCTGGAGCACTGCCGGGGTGGCCTGCAGTAAGACCTGGGCTTGGGGTAGCAGCGCTGAAGGGCCGAGTCCCCTCAAGGCCCCGAAGGCCGAATTAGCGGCCACACGACCCACAAGACCCAACAGGGTGGAGCCCGGGTGGAGACTCTTTCCTTTATTTT